TAATGCCAGGAGCTACGTTCGTAGCGTCCTTGCTACGTTCGTAGCGATGCCCTTTGTTACGTTCGTAGCTCGTGGGATCCGTGGGATCCGTGGGCCTTGCTACGGTCGTTGCTACGGTCGTGGGTCGCCTCGACTGGCCGTTTGCTTGTGTCATGGTGTGTCATCTAGACTCGACTGGTGAGGATGGTGACATTTCAGAGTTGAGTCTTGCTCAAGTTATATAGCTTCCCTCAAGTGATAATGATTCTTCATAGTATTTTTCAAAAATCTAGGGCTGGAAGAAATGAGTCAAGTGAGATAAAGTGTCTGGATTGTTGGAATGAAACGTCCAAGCAACGTTTGCCGTGAAACCGCATGTGTCGAACCAGTGGCTTTCTCAAGGAGTCGCCTGTCTTCCCAGGATGCCAGTGAATCCAGGAGCGGTTCCTGCAGCTCTTCCAAACGTTGTGACCTCAGCTCCAAGCCAAATCCTTGCTGGGTGGGACTCCACGACCGGAAAACATCGGAGGCTTTTCGTGGAGTTCGTGAAAATTCTGAAACAGAACAGCCAACAAGATCCGCCAAGAACCTTTTGCACCAATCAGCCAAATTTATTTACAGTCAGGTAGACTAGGTAGACTCTTGATTCTTAATAAAACACCCCTTTGAAGAGGCTCTACAATCCAAATATACACGGGGTCATCAGTTCACCAAGAGTCTACAATAGCAGTAAAAGGTAGCATCCACTGATCCACCTCCACTGGGTCCACCGAACGTATTGAAGCGCGCACTGGCCGGTCAGGTGCGGAGCGGGTCACGGCAATGACCCGGTGTTGGGAAGGAAGGAAGAGAAGAGAAGCGAACAAGGGCGAAGTCAACAACAAGGGTGAAGGTATTTGTTCAAACAAAGTTTCAGAAGGTGTTACATGTGTGAAATGAAATTGATATGACACTGCTTCCAAAGGTTGATGGACCGGGAGCTTGACAAACTTGGCAATACCATAGTCTATAGTCTACAGGTTCCATCTGGAAGGCTGTACTGAAGAAAGGCCTGTGAGTTTGTAAAGTCATAGATGTCCCCAACGCGCCTTCAATCTCCCCTCTTTTGTCTGTTCTCTTTTCCACGAAAACCACATTAGTTTCTGGGAACCTGCACAAGCCCTGCGGAGGGCGGGGGATGGAGTCAGCTCTGGAACATTGAGCCTGCCTCTGCGGAAGCTAGTCCAAGCTCGAACACACGCTCACACAGGGAGAGGTCGCCCCACCATGTGTTGGATCACACTAAGTTGCATCCACCTTAGTGCCTAGGGCACAACCAGTGATACATGATGTGGTATCACATCACACCTCTCATACAATATCTCATACATATCCTATTAAATATGATATGCAAAAAAACATATATCATATGTGTGATGATATATGTGTGGTTGTTAGTAGACAACAGCAACACGCCCAAGAATGTCCTCCACCCAGTGAACTCATCGCCTGAGGTCCTGAAATCTCCTCGAAGAACGTCGCTTCACCGGGCTCAGCGCGGCCGACACATCCTCCACTTCCTGGCAGTCGAGGGGGTGGTCGCTTCAGAGGACAGGTTCTGAACCGTCATCTGCCTGACTGTCTTCTTCGACATAAACCGATCGGAAGGGCTTTTGAAATGCCTTGGAAGCCTCTCTAAGATTGCCAACAATTCTGTCATGGCTAGCAGGCACCAATGCCATCCAATGCCTCAAGTTCTTCTCGAGGACTGGTGATTTTCCAAATCGTCCAAAGGCCTTGTGGACAAGTCAGTCGGAACATTTCAAGTGCAAGCTGGGCCAACTTCATCACTTTTGAACTGGAAACAAAAGTAGAGGAAGTGCATCCCTGTTCTGCCTTTGGACATTTGTTTAACCGAGAGGAGGGCTGACTGTTGATGCCATAGACACTCCAAGGAGGACAGTCCTCACGAGGATTCCCCACCGACTGTCATCTTGTGGCTGCAAGAGTCCAAAAGAGCAAACATACGTACATTTAGACAAATGTTCTTTTTAATATGTTCTGTTTCTTTGCCCGTGGCCTGCCCTGCCTCCTTACTAGTTAAGCAAGGGCCAACTTGTACGCTCCTAGCTAGTGACTAGTGGACGCAGGATAGTGCTCGGCGCTCGCAGTATTCATTTGGTTCCTAGATGTTTAAGTCTAGACCGTTTAGACTCACATAGACCCCTTCTCCCGCAACTGAGTCTGAGAGACAATTCGCAGAAGATCTGGCTTTCGTTCATTTGTTGCAGTCTTCTCAGTTGAACAAAAATAAAAGGAGGTCAGCAGCTTGGTTCTGGTGACCATCTCACAAAATACCCAGTCGGACCCCTTGGGACTCTTCCCCGATGGCGATCCCACACGCATCGGAAAGAACGGTCCCACAGTAGGTCTTCCAAAGCACCTGAGTGACCCAAAGCCAGCGCCACTGGAAGAGAAATCAACCAATCCGCGCCCCTCTGAGGCGTGGGCCGGCATGCTTGGGAAGTGGTGCACCAAGATGAGGCTCAGAAGCACCGTCAATTCAAAGACCTCAAAAAAGTGCCGGGTTCACCATCGAGGTACGCAGAGTAGGAGCGGAGCGGCGTAGCAGAGCTCGTTACTCTGCCCGGGGCTCGTGTCGGCGACTGTCCGAGAAGTGCGCGAGAATATTCCTTGTTAGTAGATGTTACTAGTATATTCTTCCTCCTAGTAGCGATGCCAGGAGCCCCTAGTAGCGTCCTTGCTTCTAGTAGCGATGCCCTTTGCTCCTAGTAGCTTCTTTGCTCCTGCAACAAGTTCCCTCAGATCTGGGATCCGGACCGCCGAAAGCATGCTGGAGAAAAGCAAGACATGAGCCAATGGGTACAGCCGCTCGAAGTAACGAACCTGTCACAGAACTATTAACATGTCGAAAGCTTCGGCCTTCCAGATTCAAAAAAGTGACGAAAGGCCAAGGAGCTTACAAATGTCTGAAGGTTCTGCAGTATACAGTATACAGAATTGCACATGATAAAGTCCATGGGATACAACATGTATGGCAAATGCCAATGGAGAAACTATAGAACAGGGTATTTTGTGCTGGTGGTGCAGGGTTTTCTCCACCAACAGTACAGTAGCTTGCGTTGGCCAAATGCTTCCCCAACTCCGGCCAAAAACTCAGTACGTATTCATGCAACGCCTCAGAAATCTTGTAACTCAAACAGAATTAAACACAGAGCCAAAAGCCGCACGCTTGCCCCACGCTTCGATTGCATCGCACAGCAAACAAGACGACCTGCGACTGTGTGACTGTGTGCCCGTCACTCTTCCACTCCCGCTCCGCTGTCACATCCCCACGGCAACAAAACGCCTGCTGCAGCAAGCCGGTGGCCAAGCCATGCACAGCCCTGCGTTCGTGGAGCACGGTGCATGCGATCGGGGTTCCAAGGTGGGTGAAAGCGTGGCGAAGAAGAGTACTCCGAGGAAAACTCACCTGGAAGGCGCCAATCCACCTGTTTTGGTCTTGGGAAAATGGTAATCCAAAGGGGGCATCCCATTCACATCGATGGTTGTCAGGGAGTGTACAGTATATAGATTTGTTGCCATGGGAGGTTTCGTTTACGTTGCTTGGTGATGGATCACACAGGAAGGCCAAGATGGGCGATTGGTCATTGGTCAATAAATGTCCATTTGGAGTTTCTCGGCATCTAAGCCTTTTGATGCCTTTTGAAGCCTTTTGAAGCAATTGCCTCCTTTGAGATGCTCCCAGATTGAGCTACCTACTGGTCTGGCAGCCGCATAGGCCTTTTCGTTCACCAAAACAGCTGGTCTGTGGATGTCCTTCGATTGATCCTCTTCCAAATTGCACCAGGAATTCCTCGCCCATCTTCCCTTGAAGTCTCTTTGGTAGAGTTCTAACATGTTCGAAGCATCTAAAATGGAGGGAGCTTAGTCCAACCATGGTCTGCCTGAAGACGCAAATCGCAGAGTTCAAGCAGCTTGTTTTCAGCGAATCGCGTGTTTAGAAGTCATGTGACTCCTGTGATCCTGATGTCCGGCACGAACGGGCGGATCTCAGCTCTTAAACCGTGGCTGCTCCCAGCAAGGCAAGCGGTTGGTCATGTACTCAGCATCTCCCAAGTCCTGGAAAGCGACCAAAGAGGAAGGCTGCTGGACAGTTCTGCACCAAAATGTCATGTGTTTATTGGGCTACTGGGGCGGAGGCCATTGCTACCAGGATGAAATAACCCTTGAGACTCAGACCCTTCAGACTCTTTCGGGGTGTTCCAGTGCTAAGCGCGACAAAAAACGAACACACAAATCTGATGTCTGCACTCTCACTCGTGGAGAAAGTGGAGCACAATTAGGCTCTTACAACACAAACACAGGCTCTTGCATTGGGCCATTGAGGAAAAGGACATTAAAACATCTAAAACCATCTAAATAATACTAAATAATTACGTAACATATAAACATCGCTCATTTGAGGGTTGACTGGTTGACTCGCCCCATGGTCCCCAAAAACTAGATCTCTCCTTCTTCAAGTTGGACAAAAGCTTCCAGGTGGGAATCCGGCCAGGTGAGTCATTCTTCTCATCCGAGCATCCTGATCGAGGTGTTTGGTTTGGCACGCTGGGAGACGGGGGGGGAACAGTTGGCCTCTTGTGCGAGTACTTGAGTCGGGGACCAAGCCCATGATGCCTATGTCACAAAGACAGAGGTTGGCTCTTGGATGCTCTTGGACATAGTTCTGTGTTCAACAAAAAATACATGGCGAAGGTCGCAAGATCTACTGAATTTCTCAGAGTCTTCCTGGGCATCTTCATTTCCCATGACTGGGAAAGCTGCTACAGTAAGTCTTCGTCTCGACGGAGTTCGACCCGCTGTGGACGGGAACATGTGATCTCATGTCGCCTGCGAAGGGCTGTGCAATGCAAACCGCCACCTCCAGCAAGGTCTGATAGAGAAAGGGTCCAGTGGTGCCTCGGTAGGGAGGCCATTGCTTCTAGATCCAGTGGTGCCTCGGTAGGGCCCGCAGTTTTGAGTTCTCTGCGTTCTTCCCAGTCGGTGCCAGTTCGACGAAAGCACGCCCATCATCAGCCCCCAAATTCACATTTGATGATCACACAAATCTTAACAAGAGGCTCATGATGAACTGGATCAGCACATCCTGCAAGTCTGCTGAGATCACTTCTTTGATGTTCTTCCCGCTCTTGGCCTGGGACCCAAACATGTCGGCCACTTCTGCAGTGGCAAAGGCAAAGAAGAGCGACTCAAACCGACTTCGAGCATCCAACCACTGACAGGGTGACACCCAAGGTCATGCCAAAGCTGACAGCTGTCACAATGTTGTTGACCTCGGTGTCCGGGGGTCAGCAGAGCACTCAGCACCCTTGGGTTGGGCGGACGTCTACGAGTGGTCCAGACATGGTCAAGGATCCCCTGATGTTATTGGTCTTGACAAGGTCCGTTTCCCAGTCGATGTCAATCACCAGTACTGTCAGATCCTGGCATTCACCAGCATAGCAATGGTCTGCACGTAGACGTACGGCGGTTGAACGCAAATTGCACCTTGCACCTGCAGACAGCCATGACGGTCCACCGTCCGCCGTCCGCCATTTGAGCTCTGTTGTATTCTGTTGTTGTCTTGCTGCTTAGACTGCTTAGCCACTATACACAATACAAAATACATCAAACCCGAACTCACGACTAAAAGCCTAGTTACTTGAGTGAATACCTGCTGGCCATGGACATGGAAAATGGATGAAAATTGGTTTTTTCGAGACCATCTTCATCAACAGCCGGACCATGCTCATCCTCCATGTCTGAGAACCAGTGGTATCATTCAAAGGTCCCGCCTCGCGGATGCCACCATAGGCCTCGCCCCATGAAGCTTCGCGTCGTCCCCAACCGAGTCATGCGACCAACACGTCTCACCCGATCTGGACTCGGTCAGAACGAGTCCCACGGGGCTACTCTTTTCACGGCCAAAAAGAGCTGAGACTCCTCCTCGTCCATGTGATTCCATGTGGGGATGGGTCCTTCCATGTTCACCCGTCCGCCATGGAAAACCGACCAACCACAAGGGGGTGGGACCTCCCCCAGGCATGACTGTCTCACTTCTCTCACGGATGCACCTGGTCAGCCAAGGACAAGATCTTCCCGTAGGTCGGTGTGGGCATCGCTGGGATTTCACCGTCCGAGGCCATGCGAGTGAGCAAGGAGGTCACCTGGGCCAAGCGCCGGGGGCACAGCCCAAAGGAGTCTATGAATAACTTGAACAAAAAGAGGAGTGGGACACGGTGGGTGGTCGACAAAGACACCATGCTTTGTTCATCGAACTGTTCATAGACATCTGAATAGCCTGCCCTGTACAAATGCTTGGACAAGCTTTGTGCATGTCTGTGTGTAAGGCTTGGATGCTGCTGACACCTGGCCACCCTCGGCTTTGAGAGTTTGAGCACCATCATGATCGATCTAGCAGTGGAGACTTAGCACAGGACCATGTGAAATGGTGGATCGCTCAGCTAGGCTGAGACCAGTTTGGTGCGCTGAATGCATCAAGACACCCAAACCCAAAGGGTCTGAGATGGATCTTCGACCTTTGCGAGGATCTCCTGGCCGCACGGAAAACAAACGGCAGCAGCAAGGTTTCAGGATCATGAATCGTCCCGATTGGGTACATCCTACGCCCCTGTGCAAGGATACAAAACCACGTAAAATGCGAACTTCCTGAGATTTCACTGGAAACAAGGCTTTAGCACGTGCAGGTGGAAGTCCCCAAAGGACGGCACCCCTTTCCCCTGGCAAAAACCGGCACTCTTCGGCTTGGGGGTCGTCCTACAGAACTCTCGGTGGGACGAACGGGTCCTTCTCTTTCGGATGGATCTTGGCCAAAGTCCCTGAGGACATGACTTGATCATCCAAGTTCTCTTTATCCTCGCACATAGCATCCTGAGCATCGATGGTCATGGTTTTGACCAGTCAGGAAGAGAAATCACGGTGGGTTCTGCAAACTGCTAGCAAGTGGACCAGGTCTGGTTGAATCAACACCCCAGGCTCCACGTCAATTGATTGATCAATCGATCAATCGATTGATTGACCCTTTCTATGGTCCCACAGACAGCATATTTAATATCATGTACATTAATACATTGCTTAGAATTGCACCACCTGTACGTACCACAAAGAAGCCACAGCTGAGGCCCACACGAATTTCACCGCGCGCCACTCCAAGCGCTCGTCCTTCGGCAAGGTCTGCCCTGAAAGACTATAGTGGAGGCCTCAGTCATCCCCATGCCACGGAGGGCCGAGCGATCGATCACCGCGATCAGCAGAATGTGGGAGGGCCAAGCGGCCATAGTATGCAATAATATGCCAAATGCATCCAAATCTAATTGGTATCCTCTAATGCTTACTTGGGAAAGAATGGGAAAGATATACTTGATAGATCTTGATAGCAGTTGATCGCCAGTCTTTGGGAACTCATCGACGTCTCCAGTCGATGGTAGATGGTTTCAAGAAGAAACCTGGGTACTTGGGGTCTTCGGAGCATGGCATCAATGAATTGCTTCCATGCGGTAGAGAAACGACACCAATGTTCAGCTCGTTTTGCTGTACCGGTCAAGACTGGCTTTCCGTGACGTGGGACTTTGATATCATTTCGCAGCTCTCCCCCAACAAGTAGGGAGCTCCAAGGTCCGACATCTCCTGGTTGAATCCGACACCCAAAGTGATCAGTCTCGGTCGGTCTCAGTCGTTTCACAAAGCATCGCCTGCATAACCGGCGAAACCAAGCCCCTGGTTCCTAGCCGAAACACTCACATCCAAAACCTCTCATCTTCGTGTCGGTTCCCAGGAGATGCTCGGAGAACGTCTTTTTCTCAGTGTTTCCTGAGTCTCTGAGCATCCACACTGTAGGCGGAGACCACGCAGTAGCGGATGCACATGTGCACACGTTCTTTGTTCGCACCTGCAGCGTTGGCCACAGCCGGGCCGGCCCGCGGAGACTCCACAGCGGACGGTGGGGACGGTATCGTAGCTAAAAGCTGAGCTGCCAATGGCCGCAAGCTGCATGTGCAAGGCTCGAATCGCGTTGAAGAGTGCGAGAAAGCCGCTGGCACATGCATACCTGACTGCACAACAAAGTTCCTGCGAAGTTAGAGAAAGGCAAAACACCTGGGCGAGAATACCTGGAGTATCCTGGAGTCAAAAGAAGTGGCAAATTCCTACAGCATTTGACAGCAGCCAGCCTTGGCAATTCAGTTGATGGCCTATGTGTAACCTCCCTTCGTTTCTCTTCGCGTGCCACGTCGTCAACGTTGTTTCGACACTCTCCACCACGTCGAGATGCCATCGGTTCACCGAGGAGGACAAGAAGAAACCCAGCAGCAAACCAACAATGGCTTTCCTGGGATGAGAGAGCTTGTAAGCTTCGCGAAACGGTGTAGCAGGAGCTTTGACTCATCTCTTTCTACCCCTCAGTTCCTTGCTGACCAGGGAGTTTGACTCGAAGGACAGGGCCAGGAGGGAATGGCATCTTTGGTCTCGTTTCTTGCCGTTGTTTTTGCCGCCGAGGGACAGGAAGCCATTCAGCTTGCTAAATTCATCTGTCTCCAACCTGAAGTGATACAGAACACTTGCTGGCGTTGGAGTCCGCTGTCTTCCCTACCACTCTCTCACCTGAGAGTTTATGTAGGTTTGAGCTTCTGGGAAAGCGATGAAAACCACCGTTTCAGGGTTCGCAAGTTGTCCGCAAGGGCTCACTCTGAACTGGTCTTGGTATCGGGGACCTCCCTGACCTGCGCGGGTCCAGAAGATTGATATGGCTTCAAACAGCACATGCCAACCAAACACAAACAGTTTGCAGCCTCTCTCACTGTCTCATCTCATCCAGCCAATCCAAGCTGAACCCCCCCCCATGGTCCCGCCAAAGCAAAGGATTCGTGTCTTCCAAATCCAGTCCAAAAAAAGAAGGAAAAAAGACATGCGAGATCTAACCTTGAGTTCTTCCTCTCATGGTTCTCCATGATTATTCATCTCATGTCTTACTCCAAACCCATCCTTTTCGCTGAACGGGGCGCTTTTCGGGCTCCTTCACCATGAAGGCCACCCCCAGAGCGGTCAGCAGCGCCAGCACCAGGAGCAAACCCATAGAGCGCCAAAGGGAGCCCTGAAGGGAGCCGAGGATGTTCCTCTAAAGCAAGTTAGAAAATGAAGCAAATCCTCTTTGTTTGTCCCTTAGAAATCATATTTTTTGTGGTTACATGTCAAAATCCAGGAATGAAGCAACTAAGGACTTTGAGTGAGGACTATGACAATGAGGACACCGTTTTGAGGCATGGAGCCGGTGGAATCCTGTGTGGGGGTGGAGGTATTATAGTATTTGTGGCCTCAGGATGCCTCAGGTTCCTATTCCTATTCTCCAGACGCTGCAGCAAAAGCGGACTGCTCAGCATGGGGTCTTTCATCTGGCCTGTCTGTGGTACCCGGATGTTGTGTGCCAAGCTTGAATCTCGTATGGTCTCACTTCCGCTCTAAACCTGCCGGCTTTGGGGGTCTCTCCATCTCCAGCCCGCAGCACTTCGCCCCCAGGCCCCTGCGGTTGGCAGGCCTTCACCCAAATCGTGCCGGTGGTGGCGCGAAAGACTTCAAAGGTAATGAGCTTGCGAGCGTCATAGGACATGGAATCGGCCTCATCGTCCTGTGGAAGGAAGACATCCTCCAGCTGGAACTCCAAAACACCACAGGCACCGCTAGTTTTTACATGTTTGTCCTTAGGTGGTTTGAAGGTTCTTCCAAAAGTAGGGCATGTAGAAACATGAAATCAAGAAACCAACCAAGCAAAGCTGTGGGTGACATCAAGAACATGTTTTCTGATTCCATGGAAATTCATGTGTGGTCAGCGATACATGAACATATTCACCTAGTCATGAATGTCAATGCATCTCGATCAGTTCACAAATGCACCCGCAACACACTCCTCTGCGGTCTCTTCCACCTGGAAGTCTGGCTATCAAGCCATTCATTGTGCAGCGCCATGCAAATCCTCTAGCCAATTGTTTTAAGAATCATTTGCATGCAAAAGCATGTATCCCGCTGAAAACTACCATGGACCCTGAAAACCACTGGTTTGTAAAGAAAAACAGCCTTTCAGGGTGCCATTCTCAGGGTCCATGCTAGCATAACCTTCATCTCAAAGCTTTAGCTCTCTGCCAGGTCTTTCGAACAGAACAGAAGGGACAGTCGTTCTTGTCCTATACAGGTCCAAAAGCCATGGCTGTCTGGGCCTCCTCCAACATGTTTGGGTCTCTGAGAACTGGAAACCCTCTACCTCAAAGCCCTGTTCAATGATTGTTGTATCAAGTGCGTGTGTTGAGGCAAACAACCAACACATCTTGAAAAAATACTGTACATTGTTGATGATTTATGATATCGGTTATTGTTGTGTAACCGCACACCGACTGCACCTAGATCGATGCTGTATTGAAAGCAATCCCGTCTCGCCAACGGCAACTAGATGCGGTCGCATCCCTGCCTTGGATTTCTCCAGGAGTGGTTGTTTCTCAATATCTTCGCCCATCCTTCAGGCAGGTCTTGGTCAAAGAAAAGCTAAGGAGTTATCCTTATCATGCTGCCAAGCACAATTGCTTGCAATCCAGTCAATCAAGATGGAAACAAAAAAGGCCAGCAATCCCATTGCATGTCAGGGATGTTTGTAGAGTGTCTTTCATGGATAATTTATGATAATTTCCTGATGTTCCGTGTTCATTGCTTGACGCTTTTTCTTGACGACCAGCAGAAAAAGGGCTCCAAACCCAAGTCAAGAAGCCCACCTAGAGGAGCAAGGCGATTACCATACCAAACTACGTTGGTTTCGGAGCTGGGCCACTGGGTGGCTGCGGTCGGTCGGGCAGGTTCCAGCAAGAGTGGATGCCGTCCATCCTCCCGCCCGCGTGGAACATAGCTCTTCATTGGCAACAATTTTTGCAGCAACAAATGCACTGTGGTATCCTGAAGGGATTCCCGGTGCTGGTAGGATGTCCACGTCCGTATGCATGCCCCCATCCTCCCTCCCAAGCTGAGTAAAATGAGGACCCTCTAGCACCTCAGAAATGAATCAATCCATTGAAAGTACTTTATGCATTGGCATTCTTCTCAGTCGTGATTGATTTAAAAGCAACTGTTGAAAGGAAAGTCCCTCTCACCCATTCAAGGAACTACAAGACCTAGAGCAGGCGCGCCGACCTTTTGCAAGATGAAGGGACAAGCCATCCATGCAGGACTCTGCCAACAGGCTTCCCTTCTCCCCCTCTTCCTTAGCTGCTCCACAGCTCAGGGTGGGCGGGGGGGAAAAGCTGTGTGGCACAGCACCAAACTTTAAACCAGGGAGCAGCTGCTCCTGTTACCAGCAAGCTGTTCAAACTGACAAGGTACGCATTAATGCTAGGTGGGAGAGAGGGTTGGTGTTCCTGCCTACCGCGACCAACCGCGAACACCGGTACCTCTCACCCATCCTATCATTCAAGGAACTACAAGACCTAGAGCAGGCGCGCCGACCTTTTGCAAGATGAAGGGACAAGCCATCCATGCAGGACTCTGCCAACAGGCTTCCCTTCTCCCCAAACTTGCCTGTTGGTACCCTTCTGCACAGGCGCGCCTACTAAACCCCAAAAAAATCGAGTGACTGTGCAGCCTACGCACCGCAACTACGGGAACTGACAACTAAGGACGGTCGAATTCAATTAGCGAACTTGGTCGCTGCATGAACTTATACCACGGGGCCAGCACGTCCGCCAAGGTGATACGCACCCGATTTGCTTCAGGGAACTTGGCCCTCATGACCAAGGGCCATGGCTTCGCTTCTGGGTGGTTCAAACGACTTAGCAAGTCAGCCTCTTCATTCCGCTCGCCTGCCACATGGGACAGCTCCAAGGCCACTTGTAGCTCCAAAGCCGCAAAAGCCAAGGCCATCAGCGCAAAGCACAGCGGCGGCGCAGTGGACATGCCCTTACTGCAAGCCGCAACCACTGGCATGTTGTCGCCATATTGTCGCAAGCGCACACAGTGCAACTGAGCGTTCCCATCAACCTTTGCGCGAGCCAGAACCAGAGCCAGCTGCGCTAAAAGCTCCAGAGCACATATAGCTGCTTGCATCTTTTCCGGCCACAGCCAAAGATCCGGTAAATGGCCCTGCTCAATTTCCAGGTGGAACCAAAACAGTTTCTTTGACTCCAAGGCATGAAACCAACCTCCTATGCCTGAGAGAGCAGACCCGGCCCAGGCATCCGCCGCAGCGTCCTCAGCCACCCTCTCACCGGCCCAAGAGAAACTGTTGGTGCAAAGCACCCGCTGTAAAGTGTGCAACGAGGACAACGAAACCGGATCCAGATCCACACAGGGAGTCCATGCCGAAAACCGGACCCAAATCTTGCCCGTGATCGTTCGGGGCTGTTGCAGCAGACGACGCGCATTGATGACACAATCAACTGTCTTGCCGCCCACAGCGCGCAAACGCCACCCCTTTTGAATATCGCTTCTTGCAGCAGCAGACTGGACTACCAGCCCGTCCCCCAGGATCATGGCCAGCTCTTCTAATTGCCCCAAACTCAGGCACTGCAAGCGTGATCCTGGCTTGTTCAGCTTGATAAAGAGAGGCGCAAGGAAAGCTCGCAATGCTTGAGTCGCCCAAAGCAGAAACCCCAAGAGCTGAGAGAGCTTCTTCCGAGGCACCCGTCGCGGATGCAACCTCCACCAAGCCAGCTCCCTAAGCACCTTCGCTTGCTTGCTTTCCGGCAAGGACGCCCAGAAACCAGAATGCAAGGACAACTGCCACCCCAAATAGGTCAACTCGGAACCCAATGCCAGTTTACGCCAGGACAATGGCACAGCCAAGATTTGCAAAATAGCCAGCACCAGCACCACCAGCATCGCGAACGCCCCCCGCGGCAGGAGGAATAGAAAATCATCCACATAAACCGCCCCCAGGTGGCGGTGGCGCACCAGGAAGTGTATGGTTCGTAACAGCAAAGCAGAAAGCCTCGACCACCAATACGCCGACCACGCGGCCCCGAAGTGGTTGACCACGTATGCGTAGAATTCTCCTTCAAGTGAGAATACCGAAAAGCCCACATCTTCAGCAGCCGTACGAATACCGAAAAGCTGTGTGGCACAGCACCAAACTTTAAACCAGGGAGCAGCTGGCAAGCTGTTCAAACTGACAAGGTACGCATACCAACCGCGAACACCGGTACATCACTGGACTGTACCTACCAACCGAGACAAAAGCCGGGACAGGAAAGTGCATCGTCCACTTCGTCATCCTGTCGAGGCCCACCTCGCATCCTCGAGCACTGCCTGCAAGGCATCCTTGTCAAGCATTTCATCGAGCCTTACTTGATGAAACAAGAACCCAACAGCCACCGTTCAATTGGGTTTCGGGAGCCTGCAGGGCCACCATAGGGGCCATTATGGGCCATCCGGAACAAACGCGGTCAGTTTGACTTGCGGTTTGCGGGCGTCTTGGGGAAAGCTCAATGAGACGAGACGCACCATGTCAAGCATCTGACGACCAACAAGCATCAGCCAAAAGTAGCACAATTGATGTTGGAAATTCATGAAATTAGACCACCAATGACCACCAACCAGCCCTCTGTCAAACCAAGCGCAGCCATTGAAGAAGATTTCCGGAGCCACCGGAAGACTATGGCAATGATGGCTTGTAGAGTTATTCCATGAAGGACAGGGGTGAGGCAGCAGCTGTGTTTGAGCTTCCAACTTCAAATCCTCGTGTCGATGAACTGGCCAATCCCTCTTCAAAGCCCTGCACCAGGGGCTTTGGTTGTTCAATGGCAAAGCACGCTCCACAAAGATTGTAAAGCAAAAGCATGTAAAAACATGTAAAAACTATATAACATTATATAACATGTGATGGATGCACGGAAACAACACGAACTGCCTTGCGATGTCAAGCAAATAAAAACCTGTGCCACGCTTGTGATGCCTGGTGGGGATCCGAAGATGTGTTCGCGCAGACTCGAGTCAGCCAGTCGTCGTCACATCACCCGACAGCCGACAGCCGCCGCGAAGCCTTCGCACATGGCGTTGTAGATCTGCTGTGCAGGCGGAGAGGAAGCACTCCAACTGCGCGGCGGAAAAAAAGGAGACTGAAAGAGTGAGACAAAAAGGAACAAGAAGCTACTAGTAACAAAGGGCATCGCTACTAGTAGCTAAGAAGAAACTAGTATCTCCTGGCCTTACTACTAGTAGATCTAGTAGCAAGAAGCTACTACAGAAAACTTCCTAAGATCCCGGCAAAATCAAAATGGCTGTCATGAAATCAACTGAGAAAGTAAAAAGGAGACTGGACCATCTCTTGGTCCCCAAAATAGGACCTCATTTGCATGGTGTGTTGGCAGGTGGCTATTGCTCTCCCCTGTTTTCTTTTAAGCAGCACGACCTTCCAAAATATTCCACAATCATAGCGCGTTTGAGGACTCACTCGGCTCATCTCGAATCCCTCTTTTTGAGGTCACAGCAGCCGAGACTCAGTCTACCACCGCCGGTCACGCAGTCGGATGCCGTCGGCCCCGCGAAGCGGACCTCGCCTCCATTGAGAGCACCATTGCCAGCAGCAATGACCCCAGCGACATCACCAACGTCAGCGCCGCCAGAGAGGCGTAGAGC